CCTTGATAACAAGTTGTGGTTTCTGAGCTCTCTGTAGGCAGATTCTTAGATGGAGCAATAAAATAATTCCAGGGGAAAAGAGATGGAACAGCTCCGCTTTTAAGGTGGCTGATGGTCTGTGGTGAAATCCTCCGTGTAACTGCTCATTTACACAGGAGGCGTTACAGCACGTATGTGTTGTACGCGCAGCAGACGCGTGTAACATTTTTCCATGTAAACCAATGGTGATATTTACACTACTAGTGTTATACGCGCGTATGACGCGAGGCTGCACCTAATTTTGTGCGCGCAGCAACTCGTCTCCCAATCAAAACACATGTAAAACATGATTTTTCTAGCGGTCCTTGGCTCAGGATTGCATCTACACACACACAGCACTTGCATAAACATTAGCAGGAGGACTGACAGGTTTTACAGTGATCGTTTTTTTTCTTTCATAAAGTCTCGCGTCTGTCCAAACCAGCGCACAGAGACCATGAAGACAAACACATGCATGTGATTTGTGTTGCTCTACTTCAGTCATCTGCCCGTACTGTCCTCTACACTTCTCCATAGACTACACAGGGAGAGCATCAGAAGCCGCGGAGCTGCGCACGGCCTGTGTACACAGGGCAGGCCCTAGGTCATCAGGCGCCCCAAGCGAAAATATATCATGATGCCCCTTCCACACTTGTAGAAGGCATCACAATGAACAAGTGTGCAGTGAAAGTAGTCACAAACCTCCTTCAGATTAAAAACAATTACATTTAAAATGTGCATTTTGGCGGCTCATTCTCGCGGCTTCCGTTCAGCCAAAAGGGGCCACCCGCTGTTAATCAGTGTTAGGCAAGTTACTTCAAAAACGTAATACATTATGTATTACTTATTACTGTTATTTCAAAATAATGTTTTACACTACAATATTACCGTATCTGAATTGTAATGCATTTCATTACTTTCTCCAAATATATACAGTAAAACAAAAAAACAAAAGGATTTTGTTTTTTCTCAAGTTCAATTATTATGAATTAATTTCAGTCTAATAATAGAAGGGGTTGTCCTGGTTGTCCTGGCTCTGTCCTGGTTGTCCTGGCTCAGTCCTGTGTCCTGGTTGTCCTGGTTCAGAACTGGTTCACAGCAGCTCACTGCTTTATATACTAAACATGATGGAAGTGCATCATTCTTGCCGCTGTTTAAAATGCGCCGCTCATCCTCCATTTTTGTACACTCAAGATTGTACAAAAAGGGAGGAAATGTGTATGTTAAATGCAGGATATATTGGCTGCATCTGACGTCTTGGACTGCCTTTTAATAATAACGTTGACCAAGAACACCGAACGTTGAATCCCAGAAAGTATTAAACAAAGATGAATGTGTTTTTGACGTTCATCTTTGTTTAATACTTTCTGGGATTCGTGAGACTGCCCCTACCCCACATACTCACCTTGGCGTGACAAGAGAGTAGCCTACAGCAGCAGGGTTCAATGATGACAATTTTATTAAGTTTATAGTATACATAAATTGTTTTTTTTTTCAGTCTTGCATGATGGGAAACTCTTAGCAGAATAATAAAAAAGGAGACTATTTATTTAAAAAAAAAATGAGACTGCAATTTTGCGCCCCATCCTGCGGATGGCGCCCCAGGCGGTATGCCCTGGGCCCGCCCTGAGTGTACATACAGCCGAATAAAGTTACGTGTCATTGCGCGGAGTCAACTCTTACGCGCTGTTAACGCCTGCTGTGTAAATTCTGTGTAAGGCTGCATACAAAAAGTGCTCAGTGGTTTTATGGAGAACTAGGGATCCACTGCCTCCTTTGGTCCAGGTCCGTCAGAAAAGCGTGGAAAGAAAGATGCCGTTCTTTTCTTGCCCCACAAGAGCAGCCAGGAACAGAACAAAAACAACCTTGGCGAGATTGAGCCACACTCAAAGCTGTGTGTGATGGTAAAGCATAGCACCACTTTCGTTTTAAAACAGGGAGGAGTGATAAAGGTCTATTGAATTGAATTGAATTGAATTGTGTATGTTTTACAAGGGGGAAAAAATGCAACTTGCCATTGCAGCTTTAGGAAAAATGTTCCACGAAATATAGCATTTTAGCCCGCAACAATCCCAATAATTATAATGTAAAATACAGCTAGAGGACACCACCAACTAATCACAACGGTGCACACAAGCCACAAAAGTGTTCTTCTAACTTGACATGGATATAGATAGATACTTAATTGATCACCATGGGAAAAATGTAGGTGTCCAGCAGCAGAAAAACATCCATTCATACAAACAAAACAAATGCAAAATTCTAAAAGTTACTAATAATAGTAATAAAGTGAAACAGCACAGCGGCAGAGGTGGTGAAGCCGCTGGTGATGAGCTGCTTTCTATCCTCTGGTCGATGTATGCAGAGTCTGCTTGGTTCAGACCATTTTCTCTGCTCTGGTGCATATTAAAATGCTGAAATCTTTATTTATTTTTTAAAATCATCTCTCTAGTGGATTTACGTTTGATCTGCTTGGTTCGGACCGAGCATCCTCTCTGCTCTGGTCTGAATCAGCTTTCAGAGCTACTTAGCCACCAAAGATAGACTGTTACTATCTAAAAGTTATAAAAGTGGTTATACGATGGCGTTGGCTTATACCAAGATATAAAGAGAAAAATGTGGCTGGTGAACTCACACACAAATGTATTATTGTGAAGGGGCTGGGGTTTCCGGGGATAGCGGATAAGAGTGGGAGTGTTGCCACCTGAGTGTTGGAAATAAAGTACAGTGAGACTCAGCACTTGTTCTCCCGTTTACTACTTCCACAATAAAAAATATAGTTTAAAGATTCTGTTGTTGTCCAAATCAACACAGGATGTCTCGCACTTCTGCTTTCCAGCCCTATGAGGCTCCAACTGGGCTCCAGCAACAATATTTTATATTTTGTGGTTTAAGAATAGTTCAATTCAATTTAAGTTATTCTAATCCTAAATCACTGCAGTCGATTTAGAGGACTTAACAAACTCCTCAACAACAGATCAGAGAATCAAACACAGGAAATGCAAAAATTACAAACAAATAGGAGCCATTGGTCCATAGCGAGCGGGACGATCATTGTCCAGAAATGGCTCCCAGGCGGGGAGGGGGTTGAAGCCTGGGAAGGGCCGGAATAGACCACAAATAAGATTTTTTTTCTTCCTTATTTGTGAAGTTTGTGTAATAGTGCCAGTCTATAGTCTACCATTCTGAGCTTCAAATGGTGACAATTACGCAATAGAATCAACAAACATGAAACTGTGGCTAAGATAACGAGGAGGGAGAACTGGTGGAACAAAGATAAAAGCACAGCTGTAATTCCTATTTCACCAGTTTAAAGGAACATTGAACACATTAAAGTACTTCACAGAGCTCTGGTCACATGGGTCAGTCTGCTCCAGAGTGTACACAGATGACGGCCACTCTCCAGTTTGTCTGCCTGCTTAAAAAGTAATGTCCAATCTGCATCAATTATTGACTAAGTGTATCTCATGAATTGTTAATGCAGCACATCACCGCTCATCAGCCAGCTTTACCCTTGTTGAATATAATGTGGAAAAACAGCGATGAATGAAATGAAAATGGATAAAAACTAGTTTCAAACACGTCTTATTGGATGGTCCTGTCCTTGATGTAAGAAGACTTTAATTCCTGTATGTATGTATGTATGTATGTATGTATGTGACTAAAGTTACCCCTAGAACAGGGGTCTCCAACCTTTTTCAATCGGAGAGCTACTTTTGTACAAAAGAAAAGGCAAGGAGCTACTCATTTTTGCAGTTATAATACAAATCTATCTAATAATTACGACAGACAATGGAGAACACAGGTAAAATATACCAGATTACTGTATAACCCTATATCTATATTTATAATAGATATGTAATGACTCAAAATTGTTTCATTCAAGATCATTTGTTAAATTCTAAATCCTTTGGCAAGCTACCTGAAAGGGGCTGGTGGGCTTCTGGTAGCTCCCGAGCCACAGGTTGGAGATTCCTGCCCTAGAATATATTTTGGATTAAAAAGAAACATTTACAGTCGGCTTCCTTATTGAAAACCTGAAATATTTCAAATCACTACCCCTGTGAGGCAGGTCGGCCGTGAGCGAGTTGGAGTGCAGTTAAAAGCAATTAAAAACACAAACAGGTCGCCGTGGTCCACATATTTTTACTTCTTGTTTTTTGGTTTTTCAATAAAAAAAATACAAAAATGATGCAAACAGGCAATAAAGTGCTATTGTGCAAATGGGGTGCTTCTTTTCCAGAGCCCAGACTGATGTTTACTGGGTCCTTTTATCTGGTGCAGATTTCTGGGTAAAACCAATTTATAAAAGCAGGGGTGTTAAAATATGCTTAGCTTTTATAAAACAACTTAACTCCATTTACAAAACCCAAACCCATAACCCATCTAAAATCCCCACCTACCATTTATACAAAAAAAAACCCTAAAACCAACACCAAGTAATATTAAACCACTAAACTATTAAAATACCCCCTCAGACTTCCCCATATAAATTCCATGGAGTCTTGTGGCCCGGAACCATAAAAGGGGAACTTGTTCCTGGTGGGACCTTTTTGCCTACTCGACACAGAATACATAGTTCCCACGAAATCGGCAGCAGACTTCCGGTCTCCATTTTTTTGGGCACACCGCGCTACATAGGTAAACGTCCTAGAAGAGGTGACTGAAAAGGATACCAATTTTTTGTGTTTTGGACAAAAATGACTTCTCAGAAGTTGAAGTCGTACAGGGAGAGCCTCCAGCTAAAGGAACGCCAGCGATACCAAGTGAAAATGGGACTGATTGCGGGGAGAGATCCATATATGCTAGCAAAGGAGGACCTGAAGAATGATGCTAAGTGCTTACCTGCTGTTACGTACATTGACATCGTGAACTACCTTCTAAATGCAAAAAGTGCGTACACATTTGAACAGCTGAAGGCATATAAATCAATGGAAGCCATGAATCAGCTGTGTTGTGGATGGGTGCGTGATGTACAAAGTATGACTGTGGAGTCCAACGTGTTGGTGTTATCAAAGGTATGTAGCCTGCTAGCCTTTATATTTTTTACAGTATTTACGGTACTGTTTCTTATTTTCATGTTATGATTTTTTTTCACACATTCAGGTTCGTCATTCTCAGATGCTGAATGCTGCCCCTCTGCGTCCATGGATCATAGCTAACAAAGATGGGACAATAGAAGCAGCACATTGTGATTGCAAGGCTGGACTAGGTGAAACCTGCAGCCATGTCGGTGCTCTCCTGTTTTACGTTGAATCAGCACACCGCTTGGTTACACAGAGGACTGTCACCCAAGAGAAGGCTTACTGGTGCATACCATCAGCGATTGACAAGGTGCCATATGCCACGATTCGTCAAATAGACTTCACATCAGTAGCGACAAAGAGACGTTTTGAAAGTAGAATCAGTGGTAATGCCCTTGTTTGTTTACCTTTGTCACCTTAAATTCAGCCTGGTATCTGCTGACTGTTTTTGTGTAATGAATGAATTATATATATTTTTGGAATTCTAAATTAGATATACATTCAAATAATGACATTAGACTTACTTTATTGTCTTGCTTATGGGATAAATGTGCACTTACTACTTGTATAACTCCAATACTGTTGTTGGGAACAGCAGGCAATAAGTAAACATATTTTATCCTCATTGCAGGTGAGCCTATTCAACAGCGGTCATCCCAGAAACTTCCTGATGTCCCGAGACCATCAGCTGCAGACAGACTTGAAATATTGCACGACTTGCATCGCGTGACAAAAGCATCTGTACTGACTGTGTCCAGTGGATTTCAAGACCAATATGTCCCAAAGATTCTCCAAGACGGGAATCTGCCTCAGCCACTTTCTAATCTGCGAGATGATAAGTATCTTGAAATGGAACCAGAACTCCTAAGACAGCATTGTTTGACAATTTTAAAGGATGTAACTGTCACCCCAGAGCAAGCTGTGAATGTGGAACGACTGACACGAGAACAAAATAAGTGTAAAGAGTGGTTCCACTTTAGATTAGGTAGGATTACTGCTTCAAATATGAAGGCTGTGTGCGATTACAATTCAGCATCTCCAGCTAGTTCAACCATTCAGGCGGTGTGTGGTAGAAAGCCGGTAAAAACTAAAGCCACTGACTATGGTCTAAAACATGAAGGTATTGCTTTAAGTGCATACACAAAGAAAATGTGTCAACAGCATGAAACATTTTTTTGTGAAAAAGTGTGGACTCTTTTTAAATGGCAGATATTCACATGTTGGTGCCACTCCTGAGGGAATTGTACAGTGTGACTGCTGCGGTGTGGGTCTTGTCGAAGTAAAATGCCCCTACACAGCAAAAGAGAAAGGTCTTTCAAGTGTGGATTATATCAAGGAGGGACACTTGATAGACAAACACAAGTACAATTATCAAATTCAGACGCAGTTAACTGTTACGCAGAAAGCCTACTGTGACTTTGTTGTGTGGAGTCCGACTGGAATGTTCATCCAGAGGATCGAGCCAGACCAAGCCCTGGAAGAAGAAATCTTGAAAAAGTCCGAGGACTTCTTCTTATCTGTCGTCCTCCCAGAGATGACAGGAAGCCTTCTTACTAGGGAAAGGCTGCACAAACAACAATCAAACACTTTGTTCAACAACAGTTCCAGTCCTGATGGGATACCGGTTATCAGTACTGCACCCCAACAGACTCGGAGTCAGTCAGCAGCTGAAGATGGCAGCACTACATGCAGTGCACTCCGTTGTGTTTGTGGTGAACGGTCAGAAACATATATGAGTAATACAGTGAAGTGTGCCAATGAAAAATGTCAGTATGGTTTTCTCCATTTCAAATGTGTTGGCATTAAGAGGAATCCCAAACCTCCATACTATTGTCCCACTTGTAGAAAAGTGATGTGGTAATAAAGTGAAAAGAAAAGAAGTATGTTTCAGAGAACATTTATTTGACCCACAACGGGGAAATTTGTGTTGCATCACAAGTTATGGAACAGTAGGAAAGAGTAGCACACTGTAAAAGATGAGTGAACAATAGCTATACTAATTAAAATAAAACATTCTTTAACTCCCATAAATAACAAGTATAAAATCTATCTTAAATAAAAATAAGTGTAAAAGTTTTACATTTGGCAAAATAAGAGGCGTGTGTATTCTAGTGCCAGCAATATGTAGTTCTATGTTAGCATCTGTACATTTGCAGCAGTATCTTTACATCTATACATTAGCAGCATGAGGCTCTGGGACACAGTGACTCAGTAAAGTGACAGTGACATTTGGTTAAGCATAATTCCACACAGCATAGTTCTATGCAATACTTAATCAAAACTAACCACAGACTCACACATGTTGGTTAATGCACAACAAACTGTCCCATTTGCTCTGTTAGTACATCCGGGTACCCAACACGAACAAACCATTTTGGTAAAAAAAAAAGAGCCCTGAAAATTATCTGTCTCAATGTTCACAGCAGCAGCAGCCGCATACTTTGCCCTGCAAAATGGTGGACGCAATGACAGGCCGGCAGCGGTGACGTCACATGGGAACTATGTATAAGTTGAGTATGGCCCCGTGTGCATTTGTGCATTTGTGTGCATTTGTTCGAAGTGCACACCGGGGTTGGAGTGCACAGGTTACAAGTGTGCAAAAAAGGCAGAATTGGGACAGTGCACACTGAGTGCAGGTTACGTCATCGACTCATCAAGAGATGGTCATTTTCAGACCTAAACTTTATAAACATTTAAGGTAATTTTGTCTGACCCTTTGGGAAACAAAATGAATTGCTTCACACACGTTAAAATACATGTATATTAGTTGTTTTTAATAAGAGATAGCTGTATAATTTTAAGTTAAATGTGGGTAACTAACTACTGTATCTTGCTTTAAAAAGTTATTAAATTGTTAAAACACAATGTCCGTAATTCTTCATCAGACGTTTATGCTTCTTTCCAAGTAACATAGCAAAACTTATTGATACACATACTGCATATATATTTCAAAATTTGTATTTAAATGCATTTTCCCGACGTTTTGATGTGTACTGCAAAGAATTATGGGCAATATCCTTCGCCAGAGTGCGCATAGATGCAGGCTGCGGCAAAGTGTGGATCAAGGGGGCGGGGCCAAAGACCTCCCTGGAGAATTGGGACACCCTACGCACTCGCACCCTTTATCGGGAACGCGCAAATGAGGGGCGCGAGGGTGGAAGTGCGAGTATTGGGACGGCGCCCAAGTCACTCCCGTATTCGTCCCGGAAACATGTGTGTCAATGCTGAGGGGAGTGAATTTTTTTGGACCACTCCGGTTTAATTCCAGAGTTTGATTCCGGGCAGAGTCTTTTTGTATTTAATTGCATAATATCACATTCTATGACAGATTGCTTTAAAAACGGTAAAAGTTTTTTTGCAGATTATAGCTTAATTGTAAAAAGAATCATTTGAGCCTACATGTACCCCAATTAAATTGTTTCTCTCTGTGTAAATCTATTTGATGTGGTACTTATACACGTATGTCTAAAAAATATAGGGAATAAATAAAATTGAAGGGTGATATCCTCTGGAGGAAACCCTGATGTTGATACGCTGAAGAAATATGTTCCAACATCCATTCTTCCCACTCATATTTTGGACATCAATTGCTTATTTATTTTGCATAATCAATGTATAATTAAACTGCTTTTATTTTGTTTTGTTTTTTTATCCCAAATGTCCAAATAAAAATAAAACATTCATTCGAAACATTCATTCAACATTAGCATGCCTCATGGCAATGTGAATGGAGACAGACAAACAACTGATAAAATAATTCCTTGTGTTTGCTGCTGGATTTGGTGTGTATCTGGCAACCTGAGTCAGGGAGAGGACTACAAAATATTGACTGACTGCAGTACCCCTTTTGGCCAGATTTTTACATATTGCTCCTTTAAGACTAATACAATGACACTCATCTGGACAATCTCTTCTCAGCCCCAGACATTAAGGGTCACCCTCCGATAACTCCACGCAAGATTGGCATGAGTAAAATCTCGACTGATAACATCTTTATAAGAAAAAGCATCCTTTGATAGGGGGTGTGTTCTTATCTGTGTACACAGTGGTGTATTGACCGTGCGTGGGGCCGATGGGAGGTCAGAGTCCCTTGTGAAAATCCATTCTGTTTTTTTCTGCCCGACGCCATGACAACCACTCAGCCCTTCTGCTCCACTGTCCATCGGTAGTGACTTTTCTCTTCAGTATAGATCAATTGATACTGAACATACTGTACATTTATGAGAATGTACACTACACAAGAATGTACTGTACATGTTGTGCCACATGTATGCATACTTTTATAAGTTAATTTTTAAACTGTTTATAATCATAACAGAGCCACATAAATCAAAGGTCAATCTCTGCTCAATGGTTGCTATAAAAGGACATCTTGTTTTGACGAAGAGTGGGCACCCCTGGGGTTAATGTTTTGGTTCACGGGTTCACACTGGTTAGGATTTAGAATAGGGTTAGGGTTATGAGTCCAACATCAACTTGTACCAGTGATCCTGGACTGTTAATTATTTGGTGATATCAGACTCATATAAACAAAGAAGCCATGTGTGTGTCATAGATTCTCACTATATAGCGCCACCTTCACGTGCTTTGTTGCTAAGCACGGCAGGTCTGGTTAGCACTGTGATGGGGACCTCAGGGAACACCAGATGTCTTAATAAGACTAAGTGGTTAGCACTCTCACTTCTCAGCATGAAGGTCCTGGGTTGGAATCGTGGTCGGAACCTGGACTTTCTGAATTAAGTTTGCATGTTCTCCCCATGTCTTCACAGGTTTACCCCCTGGTACTTCTAAAAACATGCACATTAAGAAAAATTATCCAGGTCTGGTCCTAAACAAGAGCATCCACATATGCGAAACCTGAAGAAGTTAATTCTAATATCATTTGAGGCGAGAAATACCCTCCGTCTTGTTTGGTGGTAAAATATAAAAATGTCGGACTTTTCCTCCAGCACGGACTTCCGATGCTTTAAGCTAACAGCGCTGGTCCTGCATTGCTGAAGCCGAGAACAGAGCGTCTAAATGCGGGGACACACTTTGAGAGCTGATGTATACAATCTTAATTCTGAAAACCCAAAGAGGAGGCTTTTGTTACGGACTTTCTGTTATAACAATTATTTCGGCAGTAATAATTTGTTTTTACAAAGTGATATTTTATGTAAACAATTACACATATATGCTATAAATGATTATTATATATGATTTGATATATTTGCTATGGCCCTTGTTTGTGCATCACTTAAAAGTAATTTGCATCAGGCCTAAGTGGAATAATGTGTGTTTGCTGATCCATGGATCTACAATAACTGGAACATCTGTAAAATGGAGTTGAAAACAGGAGGTGCCTGAAACTTCTCTTATTCACTTTTTGACAGACTGTTACTAATCATGTCAGATTAGAGTTCAATGGCTTAATGTATTCAATTAAAAGTTTAAGTACTTCTGGAGTACTGGTGGTGGCAACAAGGCAAGGTGAATGTGAGAGTGAAGAAATCCTGAGGCGGAGGTGGTTGCAGCTTGAAAGTCCGTTTGATGAGCTGTGCTCCGCTTTGCTCTTAAACGCTGGCTTGATTGACACGGCTGCAGGGAGTTGATTATGACAGGCTGAGTAAGGCGTGGTCAAGCCTGGTGTGATATCGTAGGTAGTCTACCATCCTGAACCTCTGCTTAAGCTTCATAATCATAATAAAACAAGTTTGATTATTTTTTATTCTTTATTTCCAGGCTCTTCTC